CGCGGTGTCCTCTCTTCCCCAGGACCCTTCAGTGTGCTCTGGTTCCAAGGCTCAGCTTGGCACTGCCAGCCAGAGGGATCGCAGCCCCTAGCCCAGGTTTGGCCCGGAGCGGCTCGGTCAGCGCGCAGGGCGCACCTGAATCCACACCCGACAGGAAGCAGACAGAGAGCAATTGCTGGCCGCGGCTGCATGCGCTTGCAGGTCCAGGCCCTCCGCAGGCAGGCCGAGGCAGGAGGGTCACACATGGGAGCCCACCCGGGACGATTTAGCGATTCGGGGGCCAAGCGCAGCCTCAAAGTAAAAATGGCTAGGTGAAAAATTGTACTGTTACAGATTTAGCTCAGCAACCAGTAGCACAAATGCTTGAACACAATCAGCCATAGATAAGCACAGCCACTGCTATCAGGTGTCAGAAAAGTAGAGGGACAAAAATGGTAACAGCTAGCGGAGGTGAGGACAGCCGGAAAGTCCACGGGCTCCTGCACTCAGGTCCGCTGATGGCCAAAGCTGGTTAGGTTCCCATCCAGACCCTACTACTAAGGCGGGCCTGGCACCCACAGGGGCTCGAGGGCCCACGCAGGCCTCAGGACGCAGCACCTGCCTCGAGCACAGGTCCTCAATCAGCTGGACAATGAGTCAAGTGCTCAGGGGCTGAGCAGAGGGCAAGGTGGTGGCAGAGGGCTGAGCTTTACCTGAGGCCTTTGCGCTGTTTGGTGTCCTCTAGGCCCCCTCACAGCCTGGGCCTGGCCTGAGTTGGGCCCCACAGGCCCCGCCCCCTGGTTTCCAGGATCGCATCTCTGGTTCCCCTGGCTTGTCACCATGTACTGGGCACCCATCTCTAATGCCCCAAAGCAGACATGTGGTCTTCCCAGGACTTGGAGAACAGCATGTTCCCAGCATGGTGGCCAACCTGTTAACCTCGGTGACTCTGCCACCTGTCAGCGGAAAGCACCAGGTCATCAGCTGAGGTCCTGTCTACGATGTGGGTCACTTCCAAGGGCACCCTGGCACATGTTGGGCCCATGGAAACTACTGTGCAGCTGGGACAAACTATACTGTACATGTGCTGTCACAGTCAGAGGGGGATAATGACGTTTCTTTATTCCTCTCCTCTCCTCTCTGTCTCCTAAAAACTTTCTTGTCCCTCCTTCCCCCTCCTTCCTTCCTTCCCCCTCCTTCCTTCACTCCCCCTCCTTCCTTCCTCCCTTCTTGCCTTCATTCCTTGGGATTAAACCCCACAAGTGCTGAACTCCATCCCCAGAATTTCTTCCGTTGCCACACACTCACTTCCTGTGGCCCAGCTGGCACTGTACCTGTGATCCCCTGCTTCAGGCTCCCAAGTAGCTGGCACTAGAGGCATACACAACTGTACCCAGCTTATTTCAAATCCATCTTTTTCATGAAGCAGAAACTAATTTTATTTTATATCTTTATTTCTAAGTATGTGTTTGCCATACATAATGAGCACATTCACCATGGGGGATTTGTAGCGGTACATGCTATACCTTAATTCTTTTTTTCCTGCATTCTCCGTTCCTCCCTGAACCCTTGTTCCACTCACCATTTACAAATGCTTTGTTTCCATTTTTCCTTCCATTTGTCTTTTCCTCTTCCCTTGCTTACCTTCCTCTCCCGTTCCCTTGTTCCCCTTCCCGTTGGAACATTCCTTCCTCCTTCCCAATGTCTGTCGTCCATTTTTACATTTACACTTTGGATTTTGAAACAACGCAATATTTACACTTGCGTGTCTGATTTATTTCACTTAACATTGTAGTTTCAGGGTGCATCCATTGAGGTAAAAATGTCTCAGATTTATCTGTCTTTGTGGCAGAGTACTATATAAATATCAGATTTTCTTTACCCACTCGTCTTCTGATGGGCATCTGGCTGTCTCCAAGATTTAGCTATCATAACTGTGCTGCTAGAAACATGGGCAGGCGCGTATCACTGTGGCATGAGGCTCTTCCCTCTTTTTGGAAGACCCCCTAGAAGAGAACAGCTAGTCAAATGGTGTCTCAGCTCTGGTTTCATGAGGAATCCCCATACTGACCTCCACGGTGGTTGGGCCGGCTTACACTCCCACCAGTGGTGGAAAAGGATTCCTTCTCTTCCACAGCCTCACCAGCATTTGCTGTTGGTTGGTTTCTTGATGATAGCTGTTCTCTCTGGAGTGAAGTGGAATCCAAGTGTTGTTTTAATTCCCATTTCTTGAATGATCAGTGATGTTGTGCTTTTTTTTTTTTTTTTTTGTATATTTATTTTCTGTTTCTTCACTTGAGAAATCTGTTTATTTCGTATGCCCAATTTCTATTGGGTCTTTAAATCCCAATTTCTAAAGGGATCTAATTTTTTGAGGTCTTTTATTTATTTTGTCTTATCTTTTTTAGACAGGGTCTCACCATGCAGTTCAGGATGGCCTTGAGCTAACTTGGTAGCCTAGGCTGGCCTCAAACTCACAGCAACCCTCATGCCTCAGCCTCCTGAGTTCTGGGATTGCAGATGTGCACCACCACACTCAGCTTGAGTTCTTTATATATTCTAGATATTAGTCCTCTATCTGATGAATAGCTGGTAAAAAATTTTCCCCCTTCTGTGGGTTGTGTCCTCAGCCTGTTGGTGGTTTCTTGTGCTGTGCAAGAAACTTATTTTTAAAAAGGAACAAACATCACAGCAGCCTGTGAGGTTCTGCTTGAAGGCCCCCTCTTCCCACGTCCAGTCTGTGTACTGAAGACTGTTTCCACTTTTTCTGGGGAAGTGGCCCCTGCCACGTTGTCCCTAAATGTCAGCAATGTGAATAAAGTAGCTGTCTTCTGCTTCAGAGAACACACCCCCGGGCTCCTCGCCCTGACACAAGTCAGCACGTTTCTAAATGCTGACAATAAAAAAAGGAATTCAGAAATTTTTTTCTCCTATGTATTTTTGTTTGATGCAGGGTCTCCCTACGTAGCCCAGACAGGGCCCCAACTCAGCCTCAACCTCCCTGAGTGTGCAGGCGTGCACCAGCACACCCAGTCCAGCAAATCTTATTTCAAATCAGAATGATCTGCTCCGTCTTTCTCTAACATACCTTACATATTCCTGAGAGCTGCCATTTCTCTTTCTTTGCCATCTACTCAACACTTAGATGTCATATGTGTCCAGCTCTGTCCCCAGCCGTCTCAGCGGCGCAGTGGAAGCTGCAGAGCTGTGCTCTCCCACAGGCCCACGCACGGAGCCCCTCCACCACCCTGGCTTAGCAGGTAATCTCATAACCAGTTCCATTTTTTTCTTTCCTTTCTGTGATACTGGGGCTTGAAGCCAAGAGCTTTGAGCAGAGCTGCTTCTCTAGTCCTTTTTATTTTTTATTTTGAGACAGAGACAGGGTTTTGCCGAGGCACTACATGGCTTGGAGTGGATTTGAGCTTGCAGTCCTCCTCCCTCAGCCTCCCGGAGTCCTGAGATCACAGGTGTGTGTCACCACCCTCAGCCAAAAGGCCTTATCTTCTTCTTTTCTCGTCCACTCCAGTACATATTTACATCTGCGTCATGCTTGGCTTTGAGATCAAGGATCGCATTTACCACTGCTTGGCACCCATGGCCTTAACATAGTTACTAATTTCAAGTAACTGACAGTTAAAATTCCCCATCAATTCCCTTTCTTACATTTTCCCCTGTCCTTCACTAAAAGTTGAACCAGAGGCTTTACCATGGAGCAACGTCCGAGCCCTTTTTGCTTTTTATTTTGGGTCTCACTACACTACCTGGGTTGGCCTTGTGATCCTCCTGCCTCAGCCTCGCAAGTAGCTGAGATTACAGGTATGCACTACCTTATGTGACCTTGCTTAGGGGTATTTTCTTGTGCTTTTCAGACAGGGTCTTACTGTGTACCCCACACCAGGCTTGAATTTGCAGCAGTTCTCCTGCCCCAGCCTCCCCAGTGCTGGGATTGCAGGCATGCGTCACCTCACCTGGCTAAACCAGCTGTGTTTTATCACGAATCATTTCTGATCCAGAGGACAGCGTTTTTCTTTGTGGGTGGAACTTGGGGAATTCCAAGTTTCAGCCCTGGCGAGGAACTCTGTGAGAGAGGCGTCGGGTCTGGCATCTGCCTGCATGGCATGCTGTGGCCTGTTCAGCCCCAGGCTCTGGACACACCGGGCATGGGCACCCTGGTGTCCCCTGGGATTGCCACCCCAAGAGCAGACAGGCTGTGCTGTCACCAAAGAAGCCAGGAGGGCAGTAAAGGCACACAAAAGTTAAAAGCAAATTCTGGGAGGCTGAGGCAGGAGGATCAAAAGTTCCACCTCAACTGGGGAAATTTAGGAATTTAGGGATTCTGCTTCAAAATAAAAACCAAAGAAATGCCCGGGGATGCAGCTTAGCATGAGGGCCCTGAGTCCCACTGCCAGTAAGCCCCCACCCCGCAAAAAAAAAGACTTCATTGTAACTTTTGAGTGGGTACTGAGCTCCATCCCAAGGCTCCAAGCTGACCAATTGAGCGCGTGTCTCTGATGGGGCCACCCGCTGCAGGTAGCACACACCCCAGGTGTGAGGCCCTGAGTTCTTGCTCCACACTCCGCCAGCTGCCCGCAGGGGAGAGGAGAATGGGGGGTGTAAGAGCTCAGCAGGCCTGGAGACCAGCTGGAGCTGGAGCCTGAGCCGAGGCCAGGAGGGAGGCTGGCTTAGGGGAGGCGTGAACTGTGTCGCGTGGGCGCAGCGCAGCCCAGCGACGCCAAGGCGCAGCACGCACCCCAGGAGATGCTTCGGCCCGAGTGCAGGCCGGGGAATGGTAACGCAAGGTGGTTCACAATCGCGATGCCTGGAAATGCCTATGACAGGGAGGGTAGAGAAGTACCCTGAACTGTCGCGCACACAGAGAGGTGGATGACGCCTGGCTTGGGGTGCGGCGGGCAGAGCGTGCCAGTGATGCCGCCTATCCCAGCCTCTTTTCTCTGCGCAAGAACCCAGACTTGGAGCTAAGCGATTGCCGCAGTTGAATCATTACGTGCCCCGCAGCCATGTAATTAAGTTTCGACCAACGACAGGTCAGAGGAAGTGTTGTGTGCCACTTCAGACGTATCTCCTTGGAGGTAGGAGCCTATGCTTCTTCCCTCTTCATCCTGCAGCATGAAGGAAGTATAGACACAACGGCTGGCGCTCAGCAGCCTCCCGGACTGTGAGGACGACGGCCATTCTCTGTGAAACTGTAGCGCAGTGGACTGAAAAGACTGCAGGTCCGTGAGTAGCAGGCCAGGTCTGGGCTCGGCGATGGGAGTGCGCAGTAAAGCTCCAGCCTGCCGAAATCCTTCATGCCTGCATGAGTGGAAGGAAGCAGGCTTCTTCTGCTCGCCCACTGAACTAGGAAAGGTTGCCAGCAGCCGCAATTTAGACAGGGCAGGGAGCGTCTCAAGTTCTAGAGGAAATGAGACAGTGCCATTCAGTCAATAAAAGTTAAATAAAACTAGTATAGGAGCTGGAGATACAGAGCCGGGGAAGTAGCTCTGTCCTTAAGCTCCTGCCCGGCAAGCACAATGTCCTGAGTTTGATTCCCAGTACAAAAAATAAAATGAAAATAAGACAAAGAGTTGGGGATGCATAAACCAATATAAAAGGATCTTAATGAACATTTAAATATAAAGCTAAGAATAAATAACTGAAAATTGTGGTGAAAGTCAAGGTAACAACAGAAATGAGGAAGGTGACAGCAAATGTGCTGTTTTCCCGCTGCATCGCATTAGGCCATAGATATTGTTATCCTGTAATTCTGGTTTTTGTCACATGA